AAAAAATAAAAAAATACCATCTTGTTATCAGGAGCATCACTGTATAGCTACCTCCCAAAAAAGCAGAATTTTTCAAGTGTTGGAGTTAGAGGTCTTTTTCAAATGACCACCTATGACATGAATTTCTAACCTCACTCCACACCAAATGTTAATATACAAATAATAAAATACCAGTCAGAAATAAAAAAAAAAAATGCAGGTTCCTGGGCCTGTTCCGAGTGCTTCTGATGCCGGAGCTCAGGTGTGAAGCCTGGGAACCCACATTTTAAAAAGCATCTCAGTTATCTCTGCACAGTTCATCCAGGTCCACATTTTGACCCACACTGACAGCCTTTCCTACAAATTCACATGAGGGTGCTTTGCTTGTAGGTAATGAAAACTTTCCCTTTGGAAAAAGATTAAAAGGGAAGAAACAGAACTTTCATCCTGAAGCTTGGTGAACTTCCAGAATAATTAATAGAGATGGGTTACGTACTGGAAAATGGAAGTATTCACCTACACACACACCACGGATTGGGTAAAAAATAAATTATGTTCAGATGATTTAATATTTCTCTGAGATGGAATAAATTCAATGGCTGAGTGAGAGGTAACAAGCAAACTATCTATCACCTGAAGTTAGCAGCTAAGATAATATTTCAACCACCCATCTTGAAAGGGAAACTTGGACCGAGAACAGAGCAGGACAGCTATGTAGGAATATATACCAGTAAGGGTTAAACACAATCCCACCGGAAAAATGGCTATAACTACTCCAACATAAACCCAGAAAGGGGTGGCGGGGGCCGAGGTGACTTAATATTCTCATAAATAACTCGAAAGATGGAGTGGGGATTATGCAAATCAAACCACAGACGATACAAAAACGGCAGGGATTGCGAATCTGTGGAGAATGAAATTTAACTAGTTGGCAATGTCTTTAAATTTGCCTTTATTGAATCTTGTATATTGAAGTCACATATTATTGTATCTCTTTATGGAGAGTCAATAGGGCTGAATGCAGAGTGATTTATGGAAGAAGAAACCATCAGATGCATAAGTAGAAAAGAGCACACACCTGCAGAGGCATTAGCCGGGGGGTCAGGACAGGCACTGAAGGAGGAAGGGGTTGAGATGGTGCACAGCACAACGGGGTGGCCAGTCACTTCTATTCCCTACAGACGTGGGTGGTGTTAACAACCGATGTGTAAAATAAACAAGGAAATGTGCCTGTTACTCTTTGAACCACTTGGCCTTGGTGCTGCTTCCAATGAGAGCGCTGAGCTTAAACTAAACCTGGAAAGGAATTCAGAGCAGGCCATTGCAGAAATTATGGGCTGTGTCTCTAGGTACACCAAGAATACAAGCGGATGGTAAGAGGGCCTCCAGCACAGAAGAAATGCTGAGTGTGCCTATTTGTTGGGGAAAGATCCACAAAAGCTAAAGGGGCCTGTAGGAGAGAAAAATTTCAGCTCCTATTAAGGAAAAAAAAAAACAATCATTCAAAGCACAGTTGGAATCATGGAAGAAAGGGCAGCTTGTGGTAACACCATCCCTGGGGACATTCAAGGAGGTGACCAGACACCTCTCTACTTAGGATGCATTAGAGATTATTAAAAGCATTCCTTGCACAGTTCAGGAGTGGGAGGTAGGCCTCGTGACCTCTCCAAAGGTCATTCCTATCCCAAAGGATCACATGTCTGAAGGGCACCAGATAAAAATAAAGTCTATTAATCACTGAGCTGCCACACAATTTCCTAAGAGAAGCAGAATAGAGAAGGGCATTTCACAGTGGACCCTGCTCTGCCGAGGGAGGAAAAGGGAGGCAGCGCCTGTGCAGGCAGAGCCAAGACGGCAGCCGCTGAGACTTCCAGAAAGCCAACATCATCAAGCCTGCAATCTGGCCTCCCAAGCACCACAGGGTAAACAGGGAGAGGAAAAGACCCTGCGGGGAGGGGACCAGTAAATATCAAATGGCACTGAGAGTCCCTGCACAAAGCCACAGGAGCTCGGGGGAGAGGAGGAGAGCCCGGCAAGAGGGACACCCACAAAGGGTGCTTCGTGGAGGAAACACTAAGGAGGCAGAGGTCTGAGACAAAGGAGAGAAGGGAGGAGCTGACAGCAGGGGGGAGAAGGGCGCACGGGTGTGCCTGGGATTACTACCGGCTGAGAATCCAGGGAAAGCTAGAAGGAGAGGGCGAGAAGTAATCCCACTATCTGCCACAGCAGAAAATCACCGAAGAAAACACAGCTTTTTGAAAGAGGAATGGCGTGGCAGTGCTCCAGCTCCAAAGCAGTTGTTGGCATTCTTGATAGCTGGGCTGCTCCGGCCAGACACAGCTGGACAGTCTGCTCCCCGGGGGGCTGAGGACCCTTCCAAGCCCAGAACCAGGCTCCCGAAGGCTAGCATGCTTGCGTCACAACAAAACTGCACCCCGTCCAGGAAGCAAGACCCAGGCGGGAGCAGGTACTTCCTGGTATTGCCAAGAGACGCCACACCCCATGCCCTGCTCCCTCCTCATCCTGGACCAGCATTGCCCCGGGATGGAGATGTTACCTGCAGGAGTTCTCTCAGGAATGTCATCTGCACGGTGTATTAAGCAGCCAAATGGGGGTCATGGAGTTTGAGTTCTTCTAGCAAAATGTTCTCCAACCAGCTGCCACCCCACTGGGCACAGAACAACTTTTTGAAATCACAAGAGGCCAGTGGAGAGGGAGGAAAATGGCACCACCCCTGTGCCCGCTTCTTCCCCTGGTTCTCTCCCGCTTTCAAAGAGACCGCAGACACTGGCAAGATGGGCAGCCCTGCCATCCTTCACTGCAGCCCCATTCTCGCCCACGGCGGCGCTCTGCGTCCTCAAGGAGGAAAAGGTGGGAAGGCAAGATGGTCAGGGAGTGCAGTTTTGAGGGCTGCCCTTGCCATGAAGCAAGCAGATGGTACCCGATCTGGCGAGAAGATAACTAGAGCAAGGATTTTCAGCCCAGCACCCAGTGCTCTGGTAGGTGAGAAAGATAGAGCTCTCTCGAGCTGACGGCAGTCCCTCTGAAGCCGTGGGTCTCTGGAGGTCCACCCACCACCAGTGCCCCTGGCTGCTCTGCCCCTCAGTCGCTCCCCAGCCCTGTCTGCTGACCCTAAACCCAGGAGCCAGGCAATCACTTGGCCAAAAGATGCTTCTGAAGCAAGCAAGAAAGGCTAGAGACGGACCGAGGGCTATTTATTAAACTAAGTCATCGTCAGAGAAAGATTCATAACTTGCCCTACCTAGGACAGGAGGGAGAGCGAGAGAAAGGAAATTAAAGGGAAACAAATGAAAAGCCACAGGAGCCAAGTACCTTTGTCGGAGGATTTTGAGTTATGCTTTTGTTTGTAACTCTCTGAAACAGAGAAAGAAATAGAGGGTGAATCTTAAGGAGACAGAGACCGTGAAAGAGAGGGAGCCGGAGGAAAGCCACGAAGGAAGGCACTGCAGAGAGAGCAGGACGGCGTCCGAGGTGGGGAGGCCTCCCTGGCTTGCTCCTCCCTCACGCAGAAACACCGGGGCCAGAAGCTGCAGCAACAGGAGGTGAGGTGGTGACTGTGGGGAGGAGGGAGGAGTGGTGTGGGCCCCAGAGAAGGAGCGGGGAGCCTGAGACGGGGCTGACGACCAGGGAAGCACGGGGAAGAGTGGGGCCGGGGCAGGAAGGCGGCCTCTGTTGTACTTACTGTCACAGACGTAAGGTTTGTCGTGGTCTTCCTGAGAGGCGGCGTCATGCCTCCTTCGGCCCCCCGCAGAGCCACGGGCCTGGGGAGACAGGGGAACAGCGGGATGCTTGTTACGCTGCCAGTCACTCCTGAGCGGGTCTTATGTGAGGCCCTTAGTGCTTTACCCATCTCTCCTCATTCAACTTTCATACAACATGTGTACCTATACCAACCCCATTTTACAGGCCCGGAAACTGAGGCCCAGAGAGGTTAGGAATTTGCTCAAATCACTCAGCTACTCACCTGTGTCACTTCACTAAATCTTCACAACCCCAGGAAGGAGATACTACTATTAACCTCCATTTTACAGATTAGGAGACAACAGAGAGGTTAAGTAGCTTACACAAGGTCACTTGGCCAGGCCACTCAGGACAGTCTGACTGTGAAGCCTAGATCTACCGAAGTCCCATACTCTGCTGTTGCCCCGGGACTTCTCCCCCCAACTCCTTAGCCTTCCAGCTTCGCTGACACTGCATGGAAATGCCAACCCAGCTCCCCTCAGCTGCCCAGCTGAGGGGCGTGTTAGAGCAAGTAGAGTAACTGCAGGCATCACCCCAGACTCCTGTGCTCATGCTCCCTGTAGCTCAAGCCTCTCAAGAGCCAGCCAGGCCTGGCATCAGGGCATGCGGGGAGCTCCGCCCTCCCCTGCTCAGCCTGGTCCACAGGGTGAGCTTCATGCAGCTCGGGGCTCCAGCCAGAGACAGAGACCTTGACACTTCATGGTCTCCTGGGGCTGGACCCTTGATACCACCACCCCGTGTGCATCTCCAGACAGGGTCAGCATCACCTGGGGTGGGGTGGGATAAGCTCTACCTCTGGGGACAGAGAAGAGCAGCAGAGAGGGAGCTGGCAGCTCAGCAGCCCCAGGACAGTGGCTACAAGAACGTGGCAAGGTTTATTTTTAAACCTTTGTAAGTCCCACACTGGTCACGTGTGTTGCACCCCAGCCCCCTCCAGGTCATTCTCTGGTAATGAGTAGCAAGCAGTAAACTCCCAACCAAGGGAAGGGCCTGCTGGGGTCTCTGGAGACAGAAAGGAAGGTGCAGCAGACCAGAAATAAGACATGGCAGCACCTGGTGTGCAGGGAAAATGGGGCGGTCCCAGGGGCCTGGCCTGGAAAAGTGGCCCAGGGGGACTTCTTGGTCAAAAGGCCTGAAGTGCCCTCTCCCTCTCGCGCGCGCTCTCTCTCTCTCTCTTTTTCTCTCTCTCTCTCTCTCACACACACACACACACACACACACACACAC